ACATGTACTGTATAGTAACTTAAGAATGCTCTTCTGTTTTGACAATCAGTATGAGGTCTACCACACAAGCCTCTTTCTGTATAATATTCCAAAAAAGGAAACTGGTTTAAATTGAACTTGTACTAAGCACAGTTTTTAGTGCATTACCTCCATTAATTAGTTTGTACTCTTCAATAATGAGAATTTTATGTCCATTCAATTATACAGTAGTTAAAAAAATTAATATCACTTCATATTAAATAGTGTGGACATTAAAAAATATACACATGGTGTTACAAGAAATACACTCTTTGCAGCAATGCAAAACTAAAACAGCCATTAAGATTCACAGTATCAAAAAGGATCAGAACTGCAGTAGTTTTTCACATAGACCTATATATTATTGTAGTTATTAGATTTCAGGTCATTTAACAGTAAATAGTTAACAGTAGCCAATTTATAACAATTTATTTTGATATGGTTTAAAGTATGATTGTACATTTACTGTATCAGAGTCTTGCATGTTACCTACACTTTCAACTCACACTATAAATATTTTGCTAATAAAATAAATCAATCTCTACCAGTTAATAGATGGAAATTTAACAATTACTAATAATTAGTTGACATGTATTATACATAACTGACTCAGTAAGTTGAACTAATGAATATTATATATTCTATGTACACCCATATTCATTATTTGCCAATTACAATTACTATATGGAAGTCCATTGATATGTACATAAAAAAGTGTTAAGAAACCAAACCCCTGTTCACTGACTCATGAAATGTTATTACTTCAGGGTTTATATGGGGCTGTCATAACTTTTAGTAATAAATCCTGGTCTGTTTCAGTTTAAAGCTATAATATATACTGTCCTATAATTAAAACTTTATGTGTGTCACTAATATGTTACTCATACAATGCTTCAATTATGAGGTAAAAATTTCGTAATATGAAAGCATTTAAAAACAAAACAGGAATTGCAACATGAGAAATACAAGGAAAATCTGAATTTTGCATCCAAAAATCATTTAATTAATAATGAATTCAATATACTTGTATAGAATTAAAAATGTTTATTGATCTCACTCAGTCACCAATTTGATGTTTCAACAGTAAATAAATGCACAATATTTTGATTATTTATTTCAGTTATACAGTATGTCCTTTTTTATGCATAACTTTACAAACAAATTCCTTTGGAAATATTTCAAATTTTCACTAGGAAAGACATGTTTCATTTTAAGATTTCCAGTCTCTAGATACTGTACATAGCATATTGTAATCATATACTCCATTTAGTTTTACAAGGTGCAAGCTGTACCTTTCACAATTCAGTAAATAAACTTCAGTTTCAATTATCTTATTGGCAAGACATTTATATTATTTCTTCCTCACTGTGGAATATCACAATGAAAGAGTATTATTTAAAAGTCTGTTGTACATGTGTAATCTTTGAAATTCTGCCCTCTGGACTTTCACAATTTAAAAAATTCAAGCATTACATTTATAGGTCAGACAACATATTGTGAAGTTTTCTCTGTTATATTTATTTTTCAAACTAGCTTGAATTTTTGTTTTATTAAGATTGTAATTTTAATTTAGTATTTAATTTTAAGGATTTAAAATATAATCTACATTGGCTCATAATACAACATTTAAAATATTTTTTTTCCAATGTTCAGTGCCAACATTTGAGAATGCTTTTCTAAGTAGTTTCTGACAAAAGATTTCAATACCTTGTTAGCAAGAGACTCATTAAGGGTATGTAGTTACCTTATTGAATACCTGGGGTGGCTGTATTTTACTATTAAGATGGGTATAAACATTCTGAGAACTACACTTTGTTGTTGTTCCTGAGCCATGGCAATGCTGCAGACATTCACAAACTAAGAGTTGTGGCATATCAAAGGCCATTATATAGTAGTTATATCCATACATTTATATCTTGCAAGTTAAAATTCAGTTACCTACATGCAAAATAAATATCAGTAATTTGTTGATTTCTTATTTATTTTGTCTAAAATGTATTCTAATGTATTCCTTTAACCACAAAAGCCAATGCTTGGATAGATCTGACAAATGCTTTCTCAAAATACAAGGATAACTGGTAAGGTGGCTAAGTGTTCTATATGACTGACCTTTCTACAGTGATATCTAACTGAATGTGTCCTGCAGTTTAAATAGAATCACAGTTTATTTGAACTTCATATGAAAGTTTTTAAACTTTTCTTTGCATTAGTGATTCAGTTAATTAACATTTATTGTTTACTTATTTTTGGACAATCTTACAAATGTACATCATGTGTTTTTGAAATTCAAGTCCAAATACTTGTGTGCCTTTACTATATAAATACATTAACTGTGAGTTAATTTTACAGAATGTTTGCATGTATCATTTTTTTTCCCTTAGTTCAGTTTAAGTGTCAAAGTTGAGTATTATATACCAGATTGGTTTGGCAGTTATATTACAATATTTTGTCTATAACATTTGAAAATATACTTTCTCAACCTCATGGTCCAGTAAATTCTATTATTATATGGCACACTTATACCCTTTCACAATTTTGGCAAATCACACTTTAAATACAATACCAGAAAAAAATTTAATACTTATTACATGTAACATTTTTAAATAGAATAAAGTGTGAAACTGTAACAGAGAAAATAGATACTTTATTATAGCTGAGTGTGTGATGTTAGTTGAGTAACAAACAGTGAAATAGAAATTCTCAATCAAACTGTGTAATCTATATTATAATTGGTATATTATTATATATGTAAGTTACCAATCCTGTGAGAGTGCATGTATTACAATACCTATATCCTTTTCTTTTTCCATAAAACCTTTGTGCCTTTCACTTAAGAAGTATTTTCCCAATTAACTTGACTTATACTTCTTAATATTGAAACTCATCTTTACATTATGGTTAAGTCAAAGGTGTTAAAGGTCCTTTCAAAAAAGACAAAGTTTAAAAAAAAAATCAATTTTTCTCAGTCAGGATCATAAGCATCGTGAGGCTATGAGAACAACTGGCCGGGGCATCAAAACCGAGACAGGTATTTAAATAAATAGATAAATATATATATATA